TGCACCAGAAGCCCAGTGGGAACTTGATAGAAAACTGGCAACAATTACAGATAAAGTACATAGTGAAATCCTCAGGGAGAGAAAAGGAAATGTAATAAGATAGATGGGTATAATTTTTACACGTTTATGCCCAAACCACAAATGTGAATTGTCTTTAATTACTCCAATATATTAAGCAGTTTTACTCATTCACTGTGTCAAATCTTTCCAAAAGACTTCAAATTAGTTTATGAATTCTCTTTTACAAGGGTTGTTTTTTTTATTTATTTACTAGCACAAGCACTCACTTAAATTAGAACTGAGAACTTAAATATAATTGTTCCAGCTTTAAAATCTAGACTTTGCAGTATCCCCAGGCTAAGTAGTCAAAATCAAATAAAAAATATGTCAGTGACAGGCTTTTCTAACTGCAAGAAAGGGGGAGTTGGGGGCGTATATAGACATATATGCATAGAAACAAACATATGTAAAATCTCTCAAGTCCTTTCAAATAAGTTCTAACAGACAAAATCAGCTAGTTCATGATAGGAAAAAAAAATAATGTTCCTGCTGGTACAACATTTACGGCACTTTTTTCATGTTTGAAGACAGGATTTCTTCAGTCTTAAAATATTTTCACTTCACACATTATTTTTCCTTTATTGGGGCAAGGGGGAGAGAATGGAGCGATCTTATTTAAACTTAAAAAATATTGACAGTGGAGAAAAAAATACAAAAATCTTTGGAAGTTCAAGAAAAATAACGCTTAAAGGAGAAATTACAACTTTTACAAGGTTGAATATTTGCTCTTCAGCCTTTCTGCAGCCTTCACAAACTAGAGAAGCCTTCTCACTCTTACTTTGCTCCACTGAGTGTATCGATTTACCATATACGAGCATGATATTAATACAGGTACTTTTGTTTACTCCCTTATTTCACTGCTGCATTACTGAATATTTAAGCTAATCTCAAAGAAAACTTTATTAATTGTATTTTTTGGTTTAGTTCCTCTTGATTTATATGTAATAAAGCTCTCCATACACCGGCTGTGCAGGCACTCCCAATTATTCAATATGGCAAACCAAATAGAGCTTAATCAGCTCACCTCATCTATTCAACAGCTGCTCATAATTAAATACTAACACCAGCATTCATTCTGAAATCTCCCTATTTCTCTCAAAGGCCAGGTGAAACAAACAAGGTCTGCAGCTTGCTCCGAGGGTTAATAAAGCCAGGGTTATTTCAGAGAAGCAGTAAGAAGACCTTCCCAAACCCTGGGGTAATGGAATAATCTCCTTTCTTGTATTTATTTTATATGCTACAGTTCAGATAAAGACTGAGGAGTATTCACTGATTTTTCAACTATGCACCAAGATACCTGGGGCAGTTTTTCATACAACAAAAGTATCCAAGATTAAAAGCACCAGCATGGAGACTTGTATTTAAGGACTAAACAAAATCATATTTATATTCTGTGCCCCTAAATACTTTCTCCCCCCTAGGTGGATCAGTTTTCCACTGCACTAATGACACTTTGTGCACCAAACAGTAAAATGCTCTTGCTAAGTAATCACTAGTATACGCACTTGTTATACATAATACTTAATTTGCCTGTATATGCTATATATTGCACACTGTAATGCTGCCCTCTGTGGAATTACCTTTTATAGAGTTTTTCCTTTGCTGGTTATACTCAATGCAGCATGGTACTACTAGAACTGTATTGTTTTTCCTCTTCCTCTCAGCCGCAACAAGTGAAATGGCAAGAAATAAAATACTAGTGCAAAATGCTTTATCACTCCAATTGTAAATACACACTCAATCTTTGCAGGGCCACCTACAGACAAGCAGTAAAAGAAAGCTGCACAGCCCTCCTGGTTACCCTGGATCATATGATTCAACTGGTACAGACTGTAGACAGTTGCTGACTCAAGAGAGAGAGGAGGAGGAAGAAAAGTCCCCTACTTGTTCTCCAGGTAAATATACCTCAATTTGTTCAAGAACCTCATGCAATTTGCACAACCTCCTCCTTGGCATTTTATATGCAAACAACTACTTTGATTTTAGACCAAGTTTTTTCCCATTCAACTTCACAGAAGCATAATGAATTAATTTGTTACTCTTCCTTCACTAATTTATATATAAACAGAAAGATTTTATGACACTTGCACAGGCATTGTGTTGTATTCCAGGATTCTTCCAGAACACCCAGAAATTCCCCTGCAATTGCTTCTCTTGGTTTTACACACAAACAGATATATCATTCTGTTCTTAATGGAGGTGGCTAACTTGCAGGTCTTCAGCTTTGTACAGCTCCAACACACTCCCTGCCCCACTGCACAGTGTGACCAGCAGCTTCACTGACACTGAGTTTGCAAAGTTTTCTAAATCCTTGTATATGGAAAGAAGTAAACTGAGTTTACCTGAGCGCTGGGTGACAACTTATCCAATCCCACCAAGCTGGAACTGCTGTTCCCCTTAGCTCTTTTGAGAAAACTTGTGTATTTTGAGCGCATCAGCTATACAGCCACTTGTATATGCACTTTGTAGAGTCAGGAGGCTCGGCCAACCTTGGCCTTATCTCCAGCAATCTGGTAACACTGAACAATTCTAGATGATTTCTCTCATCACTCTTGGATAGCTTTTTTTGTTCTTTCTACAAGCAAGCTGCACTACTCTCTGCACTCTTCTCTACAGCCCAAATTCCTATTCCAGAACACTGTATCTAACATTACTAGGAAAAATTGCTCAAATAGCACAGCTTCAATACTGCACAATCATCTCCAGTAGTACAGCTTTAAAAAACCCTTTTATTCCCCTGAGGCATAAGTTGAATTTGCTGTCAAATTATCCAGTATAGCTTTCTTAATTCCCAGAAGTGACTGCAACTGACAGCAAAAGCATTTTTATGCTCTCAAATCACTTCATGTGTTCTCTCCATGTAGTTTTCACAGTCATAATGAAAAGGATAGCCATATCTCCTGTATTAAATTGCCTCAGTTCCATCAACAAGTACTTGAAAGCAAAGGCTTTAACTAACTCATCCTTTATATAGAACCTGAGATAATTTAATTATTAATATTTCCCAGTTTAATTTATATTTTAAAAAAACACCCCAAATCATTTGCAGTACACTATTCTTCATGTTTACCGGGACCAAAGCTTTAACACATCAATCAGCTTTTCCCTCTCATTTATCAGCAATCACAGGTGCCACCTTACAGACCTAGAGAAGCTGAGCTCGAGTCTGAGCACACAGGTTAGCAGCTACCAGCGGGTACAGAGAATCAATACAACTTTCCTGAGGTACTGGGCAGGGGGGTGGGAGGTGGGTGAGCTGTCCAGTAAATTTTCAATTCTAAAATTCTTAACATTTTAAAATGTATCTCCATTCATCTAAAAAACAGGTACCACAGACACTTGTCTATTACAAACCAATTTTCTGCCTCTCAAAGTACCTGCACATGAGTCTGGCTGGCACTTCATTTGTTCGTGCCTTAATTCTCACAGGCATCTCCTGCCACAACCTATCAAGTACTCTTTACTACCTAATTGCACTATTCATAATACTGATGAGCTAAAATGTATGTGATCACTGTGACCTGTAACAAAAGCAAAAATTCTATAGTATAGGTAAGTATGCACAACTCATTTAAAATGTAATTAATATTCTAAGACAAAACCCAGGAAATTAAACATCCTCAAAAATGGCAGAAGAAGCATTAATAGTAAAAAATATTGTTATTATGAACATTTAAAAGCTACTTAAGTGAAACAACAGGTGCAACATACTTTCTTTTTAAAAAAAACAGATCTGAATAATTCAGAGGCTGCTGAATCATTAATTGCTTTTCTGCAATGTTTTAGGGGCAGGAACTTAAGTTAATTGTTATAAAAACAGTGCCATCAACATTTCCAACATGATGCTCTCCAAGAAACATACAACACCGTTACTGAATAAATAACCTAACAGTGCACAGTGCTCACAAATATTTACTTTGCAAAAGAATCAAAGGTTGCTTACGTATGCATATAAGAATTACAAAGATGGTAATAAATTCATTGTTACTTTTCAGACTAATGACATTCAACAACCATAACATTTGAAAAAAATTAGAGAAAAAAACCACACTTTTCATTTTATTTTTGTGTTTCATAATATTGGGGTCAGCTAATTCTTTTGCTTTCCTTAAACTTGATGGCTTTGGGGTTTGGGTTTTTTTCCCCTGTTTGATTCCACTCTTAGCATAGCAACAGGATAAGTTTTTAAAAACATGAAAGAATGATTTTTAAAATGCACCATACTGACAGCAAAACCTAGATCCATGGGTATTTCACAAACTATATTATAGTTATTTTAAAGTAGATACATTTCAAAATTTGCAGTGCTGCTTAGAACAGACCAATGTTTTGTTTAAAGCCCACAGAAACCATAAGAATGTCAGGTAAGAGTATTTATGCCCACAAAGTCAACAACACCCTTAAATTTATCCAAGCAACTCTGAAAATATCAGCTTGTTTTTCATTTAAATCCACCACAACACTAAGTTTGATGACATTAAATGCGTGCTCTGTAGCATTTTAAAAATTACCTTTTTTATTATTAGCAAATTTTATGATAAACAAATTCTTAATTATAATTGGGCTGCAAATTTATATGAACCATTTTGAATTCAGCGTGTCAACTTCTGTATAAGAAGCCCGACCAAACAGATAAAGGGAAGAATAAAACTAATACTTTCAACACAGATCCTGCCCCTGAAAAAGCAGTTTACAAAAGGTTCTGTGTAAATAATTGAAAAGGCAACCAAAGTCAGTGAAGCATTACTCACTGAAGATGACGCACGTCAACATGCTGCTTTCAGTTTGTGTGTCGCACAGTGAGCTAAAGTTAATGTGTGCAGTATGTGAAAAAGATACTTTGGCATTTGGCACATTTTATATCAACCCCCTATTTTGAAAATTACATTGGATAGGAAAAATGTAAGGCAATACCAGCTTAACAAGAGTTTTGCACTTACCAGAATTATGGCAGTAGTCCATATACTGTGGAATTTGGATTGTAAAGGCTACCAAATCTGGAGCTAAGAGAGATTCTGGCTTTCTACTCTCATTGAGCCATTTACTGCTGTGTAAGTCTCTGGTGTCAGAAGGGCCTTGAATTAAAGGAATCAGCTTCTCTTTTCCACCATCACCTAAAATAAAGATTAGACTCCTTACAGCTTTTACTGTAACAAGATAAATTTTCAACACATAAACATTCACTAGTCCAAAGAGAACAGCTATTAACATTGTAAGTACAGAATTAAAAGAGGAAATAGAAAGAGCAATCTCATATAAGCTATTAAACAACTTCCTTAATGTTATCTTGTAAATGTCTTTATATCCAGGAGGATTTCAAATAAAGTAATCCATTCTCTTCAAAAATAGTAATTTCCATCCCAACTTCATAAAATAATATCTTTTAAAATCACAGTGAACTCAATTTAGATTTAAATACACTACATTTTTAATGTTCTTGACATTAGCTGCCTTTACATATGAAGAGATCACAGACATTGATTGAAAAAGTTCCTGCATGCTCTTCAAGAAAAATTCTATTAAAGAAATTTAAAAACTATTTATCACAGAGCCCTCAAAAAACTTCACAAGCAAAATACATACTTGCAGCATTAATGGAAAACGAGATATTAAACAATAAACAGAATGCATCAAAATTATGCTACAAATTAAACAAAATGCAAACATTCTGTGTAATATGAATATGCAGAGTTATTCCAGTTTCTTCAGTGCTTTTAGATTACTGTTTGGCTCAGCAGAAAAAAGAACATCATCTTTACTTTTTATTCAGTGTAAAAATTGACTATACTGAGGCCAGACTGGATCATCCTGGCACACTTAACAATAATAATAAAAACCCCCAAAACAGAATACAAAAAACCCTCTCTGATTCATAGGAACAATGAGTAAATTCTTGTTTCAGTAACTCTCCTTGTAAAAAGCAAGGCCAATTCTCCTATACAGGCAATAAAGTTTTACATGGTCCAGCTGCACATACCTGGGGCTTTGGCACAAATTTTTATTGATCCCATGGTCCCAGAGGCACATTTGACCAATGATGTGCCGCAGTACTTCAATTCAACATTCTGGATTGAGCCCTCAAGAGTTGGCAGGGGATTCTTAGATTTCACACCTAATAAAAGAAAACTGCAAATGTACTAGCCTGTTGAATTTAAATATTTTTATATTCCTTCACCAAGGCATTTAAACTTAATTATACTTTAATTATCTACCTTAGATGTTCTTATAGCATTTTTTTTGTGATTCACAGTTTTTAAATGGAAGTGAGAGAATGCTGTATATGGGCATTTTAATACAAACAGTTATGCATAAAATATATATAGATGCTGTGAGGAAAACACACAAGACCACTTAGAAATTGGAATAATAGATATGTATATATACACACACATACACCTTTGTTTTCACTTTGTAAGTGCCACCTCAACTATTCTCTCATGTTTTTATTATGTACCTTTCATTCCAGGATCTTAAAATGACGAAGTGTTTTCAAGCTTACATTTAGACAACAACATTTTACTCAGTAGCAATGTAAAGCATTAAATCCCTGCAGCTGAACAGCACAGAAGGCCAACAGCACACTTGCCATTTTTCAACGGAAACTGAAGTTCAAACCTTGCCTTAGGTCACAAGTGGAAATAAGTTTTGGTGGTCTTTCCTCAGCCCCATTTGTGCACACCAGAAAACTACTGCACCGGTTGCAAGAAATCGGTGCTATTGGCAGTCACTTCTGAAGAGTTGCCTAGAACTGCGGTGGCAGCAGCAGGGGATCTTACAACTCAGGACTGAGATATGTTGGCAGGGCTTGAGGGCAGCCCTCAAAACAGCCCCAGAGCATGGGGGGAGGAAGCCAGCCCTCCTATTCTGTACAGCGCTGCCTATCAGAAAAAAAATACATAAATTTACTTGCAAATTAGAAAGAAGTATTTTCAACACCTGTAAGAACTATGAAAGGAAAAACTAACAGAAGTTACCATTTTTTACGTTTTTTTTCCCCCTCATGCAAAAGTGACTTGGACTTTGTCAGTTAAAATTGGCGAGCAGCTTGTTAATTATGCAAACATTAGTATAATTATGGAACCATTTCCTCGCATATGTAACATTGAATTTGTTCCAAAATCCATAATTATGCAAGGAAAGTATTATGCAATATCAGGTAAAAATTAAAGAGCATTTTGATATGTATTTCAAGATAGTTACACACATCAAAGAAACTTAATATATTCTCTATAGAATGAGCTCATTAGTTTTTTGCACAATCTCTCAAAGACTTAACCCAAAGAACAACCTTTAATATATATTAACTAGTAAGCAAAAATTCCTAAAAAATTATAGGAAACAGAAGATTTAGAATTAAACCTGGTAATTATGCTTAGTTCACTGTGCCTATTCCAGTTCCTGAACATTGAAGTGCATTTGGTAGTGCATATAAAACCATTTGATAAGCAGACTTCTTGACATATATTTAAGTTTTGTTCTGGTAAGACATTAAAATAATTTTTGAATAAAAAGTAGTTTCCAAGGTAGGAATAAAGCAGCATACGAAGGGATGCATGGCATCTAGTAAACCAGACTGGCATGAGAAAGTAAGGTTTTACATTCTATGCATACTTTCTTACAAAATTTAACCTGTCTTCTGTGTTCGAGGTACGCCCAGCCGCTTCCTAATGTGCGATTCAGGAACACTTTAGGCTCAAAGAATGTGTACTGAAACGCATTTGTGTGCCTGTCACCACAGCATCCCATCAGTTCTCAGTCTGAAAGATCACCTACCAGTTTTAGTCTGGTGAATACACCCTCATTCCCAGCCTTGCCTGGGGTAAGCCTCTTTTAAAGCTGAAAATCCCCTTTGATCTGAGGTGTGGTATCAGCCACAACACATGAATTTGTCAAAAGCGGATAGGGTATCTGTAGCCATTTCCTAGTCTTAGCTCTACCTCCACATACTTCCTATAAACTTGTGCAAACAGAAGCCATTGCGGGGGTGGGGGCGGAGAAAAGAAAAGAAGTATGTTTTTTCCCTGCTGCCCATTCCAAAACAAAGATTGTAAAATACTATTAGTAGCAGCCAAGATTACAGTCAAAGCAAAACAAACTTGAATTCATAATTTGACACCCTTCTTTCAAGTCTTCTCAAAACTGGTAGCTTCTTGCTATTTCCATCTTTCAGCAACTCTTTCATGCCTCAAAATACAAGGTGTGATGTCCGATACATTTCTTGCACTTCACTATGGAAGATTAAGTACTTTTAAAACTAAATATTTTCCATCATGGAGTCTGCTTTTAGATGCATTACCCTGGACAACCTCTTTGCATTAAGGCTAAAACTTTCCATGTTAGTTACATGTGTAACTTGAATTTTATTTTAGTATCATATTTGAGAACAAGGAACCAAGTTTCATGTGATTGCACTCCCTAGTTGTTTCTGTTCACTCCTATTGCCTCACCAAATAACTTCTGGTCATGCTGAGTTTCAGCAAGATATGGCAGTATTATCAAAAACATTTATTTCCTACAATCTTCATGAAAATGTGGGTATATTTGTCCTATTACCTGACCAGTCTGCACATGCATGACAGTCAGCAATGCAGAGCTCAAACTAGCCAGCGCACTGTTTTTCACCCAGCCAGCAGTTAGGGATCACGATGGGAAGCCAAGAAAGCTGAATGGCTTGGCCTTGAAGAAGACCAACAGCAGTAATAGGCTACTTATTTCTGGAACACCTGTTAGAGGGATAGGATGAACACTTTCTCATTTGTTTTCAACTATTTGAAAAGAAAACAGAAAAGTATTAGGAAAACATGGCACAACCACGCCCCTCCTTTTCTACATTACTTTGACATCAAATGGCAACATCATCCTTCTCTCAGTTTTAACACCTGATAACCACAGCACACCACAGTAATCAAGGAGAAGTTGCAAGAAAAATTAATTCTGCTCAGGTTTCACAGCTCTGGACTGAGGGATACTCAGAAAGCCCATTTATTAAATATTAAAGTCCTATATAGAGCTTACAATAAGGAACTAAGGATGTCTAACTAGACTCCACCATGAAGACAAAAATCACCCGGAACCTAAGGTGATTCCCCTTGCCCAGTTACAAGTCTCTTTTTCAAAGCCTAGAAAGTTTAGAGAATTTGGGTGAACATTTATAATGAATAGGTTTGATATAGGGAAACAGAACCTTTTCTTCAGTCTCTGAAAATTTTTGAAAATGATGAACCATCCCTCAAACTTGTCAAACTGGCAAGCTACTCTATAGAGAAGAAAGAAGCTTTGTTTTCTATGCTTCTGACTATCTGCAGTTTCCATCCCTATAACTTTAGTTCTTCCCAAATATTCTCCCTTATTATGTCTTTCATCATGATAATATAATTATAAAAGCAAAGTCTCAACAGTTGTACACATAGCTAAAATACTCCTTAAATACCTATTTCAGCAAACAAATATTTACGCGAGCAAAGAACCGGGCTCCCTTCCTTCCCCCTCAATGTTTATAGACTTTTTAGAAGTAGTGTCTTCTCAAGGGATTGATTGAGCAGGAGGATGTTAAAACTCCTAGATAAGAAATGCTCCATGCCTTCAAATACTAACTGAAATTCAGTATGAAGACAAGCACTCCACAAGATTTTAATTAAGACACTGAGCACAAACTCAAAGAGGAACCAAGGAAACCAAATCTATCATTGCCAACAGCAACATTATCCAAATTCAACATCCCGCAAATGAAGCATGAGAAAGGCTTATTTCCAAGGTGCAAGACAACAAAGTAGAATTTGTGCTGTACTCACTTTTCTGGAAACACAGTCAAAAGCAGCACTGTGATTTACTTGACTTTGTTGCTCAGTGTAGTCAAAACTGGAGAACAGAGCAACCACGTTTGCGTACACCTCACATTTTCTTTAGTTAATTTATTATTTTCATCAGACTTTATGGAGATAGAGACATACATATACCTGTCTCCGCCAAATATAACCTACAGCTGCTTCCAGAAAAAAAAGACAATTTTCTAGTTGTGTGATTTTTGTACTGGAAACAACTTGCCCATTGTAGAACTACTAGCAGTAAAAATCAAGTGCTTCCTTCCCAACATGTAACCGTGTTTATACTTGGTGATCAAACATAATCTGGTTTAGCTGAATCAGACACTACCACACACTTCTTTCCATACTGCAGAACCCAAAAACAGGCAGAAAGGTTTTCTAACTTCAAATCTGCTACACCTTGACAATTTACACTTTGTGCATGCTAACTCACTTTAATTTTAACTCCGAGCCTAATGAGTCATTCTTTTCTAGATACAGGCACAGAAGTACCACACCATCGAGGAAGGTTCTCCCGCACTTTAAAGAAGGCATTTACATCCTCTCCACAACTTTTCTGGTCATAGTTTTGGTCCTCTACATGTACATAACCCAACTACGCAGCTTGCCCCAAGTCCCTGCATTCAGTGACATTCTATGCACAAGCAGGAGGAAATCAAATGCCTAAAGGCAGGTCACAATTGTGTCTTTATAGATTGGCCCAGGATTTCTGCTAGCAAGCCTATTAATGCTGAGCAATCATTTAATTTAAGACCTGTTAAAAAAAAAAAAAGTTACCTAATTAGTGATTTTACCAATGGCCTATACATCTTTTACCAATCCGTTTGTAATAAGGTGAATTTGCAATGATTAATGGAAAACCAAGATTCAAAATCTAAACTGTCAATAGAGAAGACAGGAAACCAGCAAAAGAGGTATGTTACTGATTCTGAGGACAAAAGTCAGGGCTGCGTGCCGCCAAATCCCTGAAATACAATAAATAATTCTTTAGAAAGATCATAAAAAAGAAAACTGCAAAATACGAAATAGGAAATGAGTAAGGCATGACTAAAACTTCTAGAAGCAGCTCCACATGAATTCTCCCCATATTTAGCTTATGGCCTCAGAAGGAAAAATTTCAATATTTAAAGCATTAAGTACCAATAAACTACGGTTTGGCAACATGATACAGTAAAAGACTGTCACATACATGTCAAAATGATTTCAAACTCAGTAAAAATCCATGAACAAAAGCAAGGAGCTATTAACCAAACAAAATAACGTTTAGGCCTAGGTCTTACTGGAATCA